TTTTTTTTTTTTTTTTTAGGACCTTTCCTGGTCCTTGCATGGCCAGGGCAACCAGGCCGTTCGGGAAAATAGGGTGATCCAGGCGGACCGACTAGTAGCCTAGGTCCTGGGAATCTTTATTTTTATTTCTTGTTTTTTCTTTTTTTTTTTCATGGCCGCGAGGTCGCGGCCTAGACCGCAGCCGCGACCTCGGTCGCGCATGGTCGCCGCCGGGGGGGATTGTAAGCAAGTAGGTAGTGCCTCCAGTGATCTAGGGCCTGCATGAGAGCGTAGAGTTCCCTTTAGTTTGTTGATGTTGCCACCTTCTCTAAGGAAAGCCTAGATGACATAAAGTCTACGGGTCTATAGCCATTGTCATCGTCTTCCTGTAGAACGTCGCCTATGCCATATTGACTAGCATCTGTCAACTGTAGTGACGACAAATGGCAGCAACCGGCTGGCGACTCTGAGGATAGGGTACTCTATCAAGGCCTTTTTCAACTTTTTCAAGGTCGAGGTGCTATTTTGGTCCCACTTCCAGATCACTTTTTTCCTTAGCAGTCTACAAACGGGAGCAGCAATGGCGGAAAAAATCATGATAAACTTCCTATAGTAGTTGGTCAACCATAAAAACGATTGCAACTTGGTCAGGGTGAAAGGGGTGGGTCAATCTCGAATAGATGCTGTCTTACTGTCTCTGGGTCGGACGTCATCTCCATCTAAGAAATGCCCCAAGTAAAGGACTTATGTCTTTAGCCCATTCACACTTCTTCGCATTGAACTCGAAAAAGATTCCTACTTGGGTGAAGACGGGTCTAGATCAAGATGTGTGTCAAAATCGTTATTGGCGAGGAGCTTGCATTAACTACGGTGAGGACGACCATCGGTAGTTTAGGTGCAAAAATACAAATGTATCGCAAAAGATACCACCCAAAGGTGGTTTTGATAATTCTTCTTCCCAGGATGGRGCTTCTACAAGCTCGAGTTCGGAAAAGTTGGAAAAACATATTGGGTCAGTARAATTTGTAGCTGCTTCTACTCCTGACGAAGTGGGCGATGTACCCTCCTCACTTCAAGAGTTGGCTGAAGCTATTGACTATTTCGTTACCCCACAAATGCATCTTGACCGAACAATACTCAGTTCGTTGGATGTTTAAGCAGCCTTAGAGGACCTAGGGAGTGAGTGGCAYGCAAGGGTCCCTCGAGTTCTGGGTGGCACTACGTAGTGCTCCTAGAGGAGAGCATTTTGTAGAAGAAGTTGGTGTAGGCGGCCGCAAGTGTGGTGCCTTTGTAGACATCGGCTTTACACGAAACTTCATAAGTCGTGACTATGTTGAAAGACTGCGTCTAAAGGACTTCGTGCAGCACCTAAGTACACATGTAGCATCTACTTTGCCCAACAAAAAGCGCATGCTGGCTGTGTGTCYGAAACCACTTGTAACGGGGGTTTCGAGTTGAACGGTTCAACTCCCGTTGAATTCCGTTTCAACTCCGCGTTACACCCCGTTACAACCTATGTATCCACCCCGGCGATGGACAGGCGCGGCCAAGTCCGCAGCCGCGGCCAGTCCGC